GGGGGGAGTCTGTCCTTAATATTCCTGACTTGTTACACATGTTGTTGTAAAGTTTGTGTCGTTAAAACAATGCTGGGTGTCTTTTTTTCCTATGATATCCAGTGTTTGGTGTTTCTGAGAGGACTCGTCAGAATTTAGTGTTTTGTTTGGCGCACAGAAATAGTGAACTATACCGTTTGTTATTTGCATGAAATGATCCTTGACTACCTGAATGTCTTTCAGCTACCTATTTGCATTGTTTAAGTTATTGTTTTTTGCAATCTAGATGTTTTTAAGCGTTAGTTTTTGATCCATTTGTGAAAACACTGTGCACACTCAGATACCTCGTCGTTCCTGGTTTCATCCAAAATAAAGAGTAGTTTGTATAGCACATAAGAAAAATATGTCTTATTAATTTGTTATTATTTTGCTTTAAATTAAGACATACCGCGCATTTTTAACATATTTAACAATAATATACAAATATATACAATAAATTAATAAAATAGCTACTACCACTTACTTAATTTAATGCTTTCTTCATCTTAAAAAAATTCAAAACTATGAATTCAATACTATTTTTTTTAACTTCTGGCATTGACAATAAATTGAACTTTAAAACGTGTTTTTATTTCAGGAAGAAAATAAACTTTTACTACGTCTTTTTGCTTGTAACCATTGAGCTTTATGGCGCAAACAACCCAAATAAGCCGCAAAAAAACGCCCCAAGGCCTCTCCAGATAGTCTTTTCTCTTAGAAAGGCGTTTGTCAAACCCCACTTGCACGACGTCGCGTTTCTAATAATAATATTTATAAATTACAATAACATTATTGTAGAAATGAGAGAGTAATATGTGTTTGATTCAACATAGAAACGTTTAGGGTTTTTCAAGAGTCCAGGTATCCTGTTTATATAAATATCCAATATATGGATGACAAAAGGCCGCAGTTAGGCTACTTGAATTATCTTTGGATATCCCTGGATCCTTCGTTTAAAAAGCTTAACAAAGAAAGTCCGCAGCATGAATTGCAAACCAGCAACAGAGAGCGTTGTAAGAATTATAAAAACAAAGCCACCAAAGAGTGAGAGCAAAATAAAGCAATAGCGAGACACATTTCAGCATTTATAGATTAGTTTGCACTTAATTATTGTCTGAATCGCAGCGTGTGTATTATGTATTCGTTTGTTGGACATTTTCGGCCTTTGAACGACACACAAACTAGACTAGATGCCCTCCAGCAATAAACCACAATCGCAGCCTGAACTGTTTATAAGGTGCGAAAACAGCAAAGCATGTCGAGGCTCTGTGACAGCAGTAAACCAGCATTTCTAATGAAGCTCGGGCAAACAGTCAAATGTGTGATATTGCTGTAAGACAAGATAGGCCTGAATCACACACACACACACACACACACACACACACATACCGAGAGAGGGTATGGGATTGCAGATGGGTCTGTCTTAAAACGTCCAATTACTTTACGACCATCTACCAACAATTAGACTGTCTCGGTGCAGAAACATCCGTTTGTTGTTTTGTCGCAGCAGAGCTCTCAGAACAACACACACACAACCACACACAACCACACGCACACACACACACTGACTGAACATGTTTTACACGCTGAAACCAGTTCCACAACATACATCACTTTATTTAATGAACACAATTAAAAATAAAGATGCACTAAACTGAAGAAAAAGCCAAAAACTTTGAATTAAATTAACCAACACTATGTGTCCTGATGATGGTGTCAGTGCTCTGTTCTCATCCGAGTGCTGCTGAGCTCCGACCGCCAGCAGGTGGAGGCAGCGGCTCGTCTGAAGAACAATATTCAAACTGGGTGATGCGTTCAGGGCACACCGAGACCACTCCCCGTGTATTACAGGGTTGCACAAGTTGTGTCGTTTTCGTCGTAAATCATCCAGTCCTGCTGCGTGTTCTGTTTCATTTTATCGGCATCTAAGGCACAAATAGCTCTTAAAAAAATCTTTATTTAATTAAAGAGGGACTCTGTTTGGCCAGGGGCTCCTTTACTTTTTATTACAGATTCTGAGAGAAAACCACAATAGTTTATGACTGTGCATAGTGCTTTTGAATAGTTTAAAGGAATATTCTAAGCTGTGATAATCAATAATAAATTGATACAGAATAGCGATATAGGCATGCATTCACAAAATGCCTCGGCTGGTCACACACACACACACACACACACACACACTCAGTGATGACACATGTCATCACTTCCCTTTTTTCCAGGAGCTGGATTGGACCTTACTGGACCCCAACTGCAAGATGAACTTGAGATCCTAGAAAAGTGAGAGATACCCCAACAAACCTCCTAGTTAGCCCTCAACATACACCCCACCCCATCCCCCACCCTCTCTGCCTCCACCCCTCTCACCCCCAAAGGTCACCCACATGTAGCTTGTTAAGTCTATACCTTTTTGGGGGAAACTGTAAAGATATTGCAGACAACTGATGTTCCCATTTTTCAAAAACATGATATTTGACACAAACCTGCAGTAAAGTCTCTCCACTCCACTTGTGTTGTGCGTAAAAGGCATTCCTGTCTGATCCCCATGCACGTTTGGATGGATATCTTCCATGCAAACAGCCATTTGAGGAGCCGTGCTGCAGGAAAACCGAAAGTTGCTGGATGTATGCGGCATGACCTCTCATGACACCTATACATCAAACCTCATGACACCACCAGTGACAGAGGAGGCCAGGAATGAAGTATGGAGGAGAAGTTCAGGGAAGTAAAGTTATGAGCACACTAGAGCTAGAGTCTGTTTCATCTACTTATCTTCAGTGCCAATAGTCTGTTGTTTTAGATGTGGATGGAATTCTTCTGTAATATGTGTGTGTTATTATAGGCTAGTCTTTTTTTGCAGAGAATAACACTTGAAATTAATTAAGTTTTCATGGTTTACTTTCTAGAATCTCTTTCATCAGCCACTTGCAATCCCCAATTCATTTTCCTGCATTATCTTTTTTTTAACCTCACATCAATTTAAAAGCATACTATTTGCTTTAAATCTTTTCGTTCATATACATCTTTGCCTTTACCTACAGAGCAACTGAGCAAGGACACTTGAATCAAAGAGGCAGAGAACTGACAGTTTGTGTCTTAAAAGGTGGGTTGTCTATCCTGGTAGTATTCTTTTATTCCTTTTCTATGATCCCCCGTTTTTCATAGTTTTGTCTTCTTTGGTTTTCTAATACAAAATGGGCCCAGAATGACCATATCACTGATTTTTTTATGTTATTTTTGCAGTTATCACGACTTTTTTGCACATGTCGACCTTTTAACTGTCGAATCTTCTCATGAATCCTGGGGGTTCAATAAATAAAACTATTATGTGAAAAGCCTGTCTTTGTTTCCAGGACACACACAAACACGTACACACACGGCTCGAAGCTAAATGTCTTTTCCAGACCAGAAGGACTGCACGGCTTGAATGTACCACTATATATTTTTTTTCTTTTCCCCCCACAGGCAGAATATGCTGTGATATATGATATAATGCAACGTTAACGACGGAAGCAACGTGCAATAAACACGTTTATAAACACTTTCAATCATTTCACCAAATATACATTTAAACACCTAGCTGATGCAAAATGTGTAATATATATATAATAAACGTGTTATTGCAATGAAATATGTTTCACATTAAAGGCATTTCCTATCACCGAAGAACAAAAAACATATAATTTGCTGGTTATTAAATTATTTATTTATTTATTTATTTGTCTGGTTAAACATTTGCATCACACTTTTAAAAAATGAAAATAATTCCACAACACAGGCAAGGTAATCTCAGGAAGTCATTCCTTTTTTTTCTAAACAATTCTTCAGTGGCCGCAGGTTTGGCCTGCTTGCTTCCCAGATGTCTCTTGTTGTCCTCGAACAGACGGGAAACGTGCCGCTCCTGCTCACAGCTCATCCAGACACCGTCTCTCCTGTCTGTCTGCATTCGTTCAAAGCAAGGAGCAAAATGTGGCTTTATGTCTGTACAGCTCCGAACAAGAACAGCATACATGAATCAAAAATTTGGTTTCAATGTAAAATGTCCAACATGTTCCATCGTGCCAAATATTGTAGAGGGTTTTTTTTCTTGTTTTTCAGAAAGCTCTTTGTTCTGTTTCTACACCTGTGTCGACTTAAATCTATGCGCTCTGACCAGGTCGACACGGTCTATATAAACTATAATTTATTTGCAGATTCTAATAAGAACATAGAGTACATAATTGCGGTGAGTTTGGATAATTATTTGCAGAAATAACTTGACAATGAGATTTAAAGTAACTTGAATTACTTTCGAAGTCAGTTGTAGCATTACAGGCTGAATTAGGATATGGTTTGTTCACATGATCTGTTTAATATGCAGAGTATATGCTCAAATAAGTATTTGTCAAAATGCAAATTTTTCTGCAGTCAAGTCAAACATTTAAGCAAATGTAGTAAAAACTGAATAATTCTACAAAACGAACAGGCCAGAGAAATACTTGTTCACGGGGTATCTGACAGAGAGAAAGGTATGAGACTGAATGGGATTTCTGCTGAATGCCAACACCCACTCACCTCAGCAAACAATTGGTCCTATGTAAAAGCTGCTCCGTTCGTTTCAATACAATTAACCAAGTCCATTCCTCTCTTCTGTGTTTTTCTGAGCCAGTATAATCCTTTTTGAAAACGAAAAAGCGACAGTTTCGTCTTACGATGGATTTCTGATTTATTATCGAACGAGTGACCAAAAGAGCTTTGCGCGTAATGGTCGTGAGTCTCATCCAGTGCTTCTAAAGAAATCCCCACATTTCTAAATTGAAAACTTCTTCTACAGCCTACCTAGAGACTTGCTGTCCTCTTCCTGGCCATATATGATCGAAGGGAGTGTTAGATGGTTTAAATGTGTTCTTAGGGCAGGGAGCTGTCAGACCTTTTGGCGAGAAAGATTGATCACACATGGGCTACCAGGGCTCTTTGTTTAGAGCCTGGGCAATAAACAGCCGTCAGATCCGCACCTTTCCTCTGCTTCACACTACAGTGGCAAATCATTTCTACTCTGCGCTATGTTATAACCAATAATGGTGAAGTGTATGGATGATGGCTTAGGTCAACATTATCCTTATAGGTGAAATAAAATAAATGAAATGGGTTGTGGGGCAGGGAGCTGTGAACTGTAAAATGGTGATAAATGCCCGTTAAATAACCCAACTGCTTTCTTACATTGATATAAAATATTGTTTTTAGTTGATTTCCTATAAATAGTTCAATGATAAAATGAGCTATAATAACATAATATATTGGGCAGGCTATATAACTAAAGACGAAATTGCTCCAAAATCGGATGAACGCAAAGAAAATCATATTGAAATCTATTAAAAACTAATTCCTCTCTCTCCTGTGGTGTGTGTGTGTGTGTACTGGGGGAGGGGTGGATATGTTGTTGGATGTCTGGTGCAGCTTTTCTATCCAAGCAAACCTTTCAAGAGAGTCTCAAGATTAACGCCTTGGCACTGATAACGACTGGGGCGTCGTTGCGTTATGAGACACAAATGTGACTGTGAAATGATTTGTGGATTGCCACGCTA